GTTGACGTATTGGTAGGATGCAGTCACTTTGTTACAGCATCCTATCACTGGCGGTTCACGCACAATATACCTCCTGCACAATTCAATAACACCCAGGTGTTCATGGTAGCCGTCAAGGGCGACGAAAGAATCAGCGTATTATCTAAATACTATAGGATCTGCGAAGCGGAACGTACGGGGATACCTGTTCTGAATAGGCTGGTTTACTCTCTAACATCCACTTCGAGAAAAGCTTAAAAAGCTCCAAATATGCACGTATTGAGCAACTACCAAGACGGACAGGAAACATAGGGTAAACGGCAACCACCAAATATACTACATAGAGTAGTAATTAATGTTAGTTTCCCTGTAGGGTATAACACCTTGTCAGTCTGTAATCAAACGTGGATCTAAGGAAAGTGACAGCAACTGAAGAGCCTAGACATAAACTCTGCAATTAATAATTAATTCTATCAATAAATGCAGGTGTTACAAATTATTCTCAGAGGACCGAGAAAATAAAATGTTAGACTTACCTACTGCCACCATCACGTGACTTTTGCGGAATTCGCAAGTTTAGCTTGCCACTATGGAAGGTTATTTCCCAGTTCTTGCCATCTACCAGGACGGGTTGACGTGGGAAGGCGATTTCTTCAGCTTTGCATGAGTCCGGAACACCGCTACTTTGGGACTCGTCAATTAATGGGATATCCTCATCAGCAGCCTTCTTCCGACCCAACATCTCCGAAGCCGGGCGCCTGAAACTCGGCGTCGTCGTCACCGACCTCATTTCTTCAGTTGCCAACAGGGATCGGAGGAAGTCGGGCCTGTAGTGGACTTGGTGCTCGCGGATAAGGGAGGTCTGTTCACTTGAGTTGGGTTCAGTCGACGCTGGCTGCTGCAAGCGGAGCCGCAAAAAGCCATTTGGGCTATAGGCCGGGAAGAGTAGCATCTCGGGGTTTGAAGGACTTGATGTGTCTGCCGTTGTCGTTGGTGGTGGTGAGAAGACTCGGAGGTAATGCATGTCATCGTCGCCCTTGACAACGTCAAGCTGGAGGGAACCCACTTTAGCATGGCTGGGAAAGGGTTTCTTTAATGAGCTCGGTTCCAACCGTCGAACAAATGCCTCAAGTGGCGGGTTTCGTTCAGTTGACTCCGCTGGAGAAGACAGATAGCGTCGAAATGCGACTGGTGTGGTCTTGCTGGGAGAGGATTGTTCAGCAGGTTCTGAATGTGGGACCGGAGGTGCGGGACAGGACTGATTACTACTG